AGACGATGGAAGATGAAGCTGGCCAAGAACTTTGCCAGCGAACGACATTCAACACAGCTTTCCCGATGGCATGGCAGTCCCAAAAAGGAACATCATTTTGATCGCTGACCAAGCTCTCGCACAGCCCTCCTGCAGTCGCACCAGTTGCTGGCTTTGCACTTCGCAACTGCCACCTCATCTTGCGACCATCTCCCCTGCTCCCTTCTGTCTTCTTGCCTTGTTGTGCACCCCAATGGCTTCCAACTCTTCTCGCAATGAACACCCTTACGACAACAGACTCAGGTACTGGAAGAATGAGTCTTCCATCGCACCTCATGAGCTCTCCGATGCTCTGATGATAGAGTGGTTTAGCCTGCCTTACAGTGTCGAGACCGAGAAGTACCACAATCCCCCTTTGCGGAAAGCGATGCGGGGTGCAACCCCGAAGCTCCAGTGCTACATCCCTAACCACTTGCGCGAGCTCGTGCGCTTCGTAGTCAGGATCCTGGCATTATATCAACACCTCGCAGCCCGTGTCCCTTGGATCGACATGCGGGCGAAAGCCAGTGCCAACAACCAGCCCACCCTCGCTGCATGGGTGCACCAGATGTACTCTGGTTTGCGGCTCAATGCCTACGTTGCCCAGCAGGTGCTCGGGGGTGTCGTCGACAAGGTCAAGGCAATCACCATCGCAGAAGGTCTCCGCGATTCCAGTACCGCTGCATCGTCTCGCAGATTCCCCCTCTCTTCCCACATCCCTGAGCTCATACAATTCCTATTTGAGCAAGTCGCATTTGGAACCTCGTGTCCCGAGACCATCGACCTGCCCGATCCAGTGTTTCGCATCGGCGAAAACGATTGCAGATATTTTCCTGACCCCATTATACGTAAGTGGTCGCATCACGTGTGCACAACCCTGCTGATCTGCCTCCATTAGTGGTCAAGAAAAAGATCGCCGAAGGCAGCAGGCACGCACTTTGCCTGCAGGGTGCAAAGACATGCAGCAGCCCCGACATCGAAGTTACCGACGATGGCTACGATGTACACTTTGCAGAGGCCGTGCTAGGAATCCAGGAGATGTTCAACAACTTCTCTATGCAGGATGCCGAGCAACTTGATGATCTCGTAAGCTTCCACATCTTGTGCATATATATATTCTAACATAGACTCGTTCAGGAAATCAACTACCCTGCTGGGCCAGGTAACCCCGAACTTGATCCAGTCGGACCCACCACCCTGTTTGTTCCACACATGGTGGAGAACAGCTCGGCCCCAGACTGTGTGGTCCAGGAGGAGGACGAGATTGCTGCATTTGGCTCTGGTGCTGCAGCTCCGAAGAGCAAGAAGCGACCCAAGACCAAGCAAGGTGGTGTGCAGCCGAAGGTAAGTCAGTTTCACTGCCCAATCTCATTCATTTTCTCATACTTCAGCCACATAGAAGAAGCCCAACACAGGCAAGCCGGACCAGCACGACAAGGGAAAAGGCAAGGATATCCGAGGCCAGGATAATCAACTCTCGGGCGAGCAGCCTGCAGGCAGCAACACACTATCCAAGGTATGTCGCTACTAGCTGTAGTTGGATGCCAATGTTAACCTAGATGGGTTGTTTCCAGGAGAATGAGCCTGGCCCTTCCAAGACTGTGCCTGCGGGCAGTGGTGGACCATCGCCATCTGTGGAAAGTCCCAATATGGAGGTATATATTATTTCTAAGCCCATACTGCCCTCGCTCACACCTTGATTACCCTACTACCAGCGCCACAGAGACAAAGAAGCTGCTACCAACAGCAAGGGAGGCGAGGAAATGGATGATGTAAGCTGCACATAATCTCGTCCTGGTATAGCAGCCTAACAGTTTGCGACTCTGAACAGTTTGGCTCGCCTGATGGAGGTATGTTTCAAAATGCTTAGTCTGTTCCTGCTTGAGGTGCCTGTGTCCCGAGTACTATAAATATTAAATTGGGTTCTGGTGTATATGTCAGACCCCTTTATGGTTACGGGAAACATAGAGCAAGATCATTGTATGTGGCTTCCTAGCTGGCAGTGCCGGTCTACCAAACTTACAGCTTCACAGCGGGCGGACAACTGCACATGCCATATGTCCTCAGGTCACCTCCTGTGCCGCAGTTTTTGCCGCATAGCAACACTCGTGCCGCCGAAGGTGTGTACATATCCCCCTGATCTGAATGGATTTCATCAATCTGATACCATTGGCTTGAACCTACACAAGAAATGGCCTGGACCCTCGCAAGCAGCATGAACTTGAATGGACAGGCTCCAGCATCCCAAACTCCGAAGCGGCAGTTGTACCCAACCCGGCCTAACCTGAATCTCAACAGTCCGACAGTGCGCAGGAACCCTAGCAACACCCAACCAATCCTGCTCAGGCCTTTACTTGCTGGCGGTCCTGCTGGTTCTTCTACTGGCGATAGGCATGCCTATTCACTGAACATTCTGCTCGCCATTGCAAAAAAACCAGCCTCTCAAGATGAAGACTCCCTGATAGGTGCTATCACACTAATGGCAACAAATGCGGGATCCTTTCGTAAGCTTTACAAACACAGCCCTGGCGAGTTTCAAGAGATGGTG